AAAATTCAAGTAAATTTTTAATTTCCATATCTGTCCATTTGGTATTATCTTCACTTGGATTTATTTCATTTTTAGAAACCTTTTTTTTGCGTTTATTAGTTTTAACTGATGGCTAAATATGTAAGAAAAGAAATTAAATAAATATATTATATATATATAATAAAATTCTAGACAAATATTTTAGAAAAACTTACTAAAGAAAAATCTTCAAATTTTTGTGATTCTGCTTGTATAGTTATAATATTTGCATCTGACTATTTAATATAAACATGTTAATAATTAAATTGAATAAATTAACATTAGAAAAAAAATATAAGTACAAACCTCTAGATCAATTACTTCTTTAGATTCAAGAGGAAATATATTTGAAGTTTCCAATGTAATTGGTTTTGGAAGTATAGGAACAGGTTTCAACCGCGTTTTAGTTTTTGGATCACATTTTGATTCTATATTTTTTAAATTTTGTGAAATCATTTTTTTTTTTAAAAGAACATGAACGCGTTTTTTTTTTCAGAACATTCAGATCATCAAATTTTTTGATCTGTTGATCCGTTTATTTGATCTGATCTTCAAATGATTTTTATTGGCTATTAGATTTTTTGACAATCGGATCAGATCAAAATGGATTAGAATTGAACAGGGCTACTATTTGTAATATTTGATATATAAAATTTTTTTGTGTGCACATCTTTCTAAAAATGGTGTGCACAATTAACACTGCAATTTTTTTTTTATGTTCTAGACGAAGTACAGTCACGATTCTCTGCCAAATTTGGTATACAGTTAATTTCTCAATAAAAAAAATCTATAAAATATTCATGAAACACGAATTTCGAATTAACCGTTTTCCTTATTATGAGAAACCAACCAAATTTGTTTCATAAAGGTTTCAGAATTAGAGATACACTATGAAATCAAATTCCAAACATAATGTAATTCTTCAAAATTTCTTGTTCGAAACTTTCGTCTCTAGGTTTTCTTATTGCTTTTTACAGAATTCGCATCTCATTCGGTGAACTTTACTAAAATTCTTCCATAATTAATGCAAGCACTTCTTCCAGACTTTCTGATTTACAAGGAGTACTTTTGATATTCACAATTATACGAACAGAGTAATTAAAGATACAAGATATTAATGGGGTTCCTAGATTGTGAATTAGCCAAAAAGCTCCCTCCTAATCAATTAGTATGTTGTAATAATTCTAACGATCCAAGTAGCTCTTGCTCTACCGATTTTTCTAATTGTTTTGAGCCTAAGGAATTAATTAAATGTTATAAGATAGATAATTTAGAAGCTTGCAGACGAACTGACGATGTAGCTAAAACCGTTTGTCAGAACAAAGATAGCTTATACTGTTTGTGGGATAGAGGAGGAACTAGTCAAAGATTATTAAGTAAATACCCCCTTTTTTCCAAGGTAATTATTTGGCAGTTTAGTCGTAATACTGAGGCTGAGTCTCGTAGTCGAACTAGAGCCAAGTATAATGAAACAACTCAAAATTATGAAACTTGGATAAATGAGGATAACGATAGTGGTGGAAGTGCGCGTAAAGAAGAGTCAGTGGCAGAAGTATTTTGTAGTGACCTTTTCCAACCGCAAATTGATTGTATGTGGGTTCCTCGTTTATACTCTAATATTACTGTGCTTAACAGTGTTAGACCAACTAAATTATGTAACCTTTCAAATTCAACAACAAACTCAACAACAAACTCAACAAATATTGATAACGATCAATTATCGCGAGAAGCTAACTTGGCTACAGTAATTAGTACTCCCATTGGAATAATTATTGGGATATTAGGTTTATTTACCACCCTAAGATGTTTCAAGAGAAGAAAAGCCGAAGCTAATTTTGGATCAAAAGGAATAGTAAAGCCGGAAGATGTGGAAAAAGTTGAGGAAAATTAAGAAAATCAGGAAAATAGTGAAATAGTGACAAATGAAAAAAAATTATTTTCTAAGTTCAGGAATCTCGGTGGTCTCAAGCTCAGTGATGCGCTGTCTTAATACTTCAAGCTCGGATGACATGTTGTTAATAGATGTTTATATAAGATGGGAATTATTCAAAAGTTCGTTAGTATATATTTAATGTAATATCTTGCCAAAAAAAAATAGATAGGTTATGAAGTCACTTCCCAAACCGAGATCAGGAAGTTTTGCCAAGAAAAAATTTTTTATTAATTCAAGATAAAAAATAAATACAAAGCTCAGGACTGTGTCCGTGATACATGAGTCTATAGTAATATACATGATTATTTTTTCGCTCGATAACCCGCTTACTCGAAGGTGATTATCAACAACGCCCTATCCTTTAATAAACCTACTACTATACCCAGCACCTTTTTCACGCTATTACACAGCGCATGATATTCTCATCCAAGGCATCTTCGGTAAATTCGATGCTACTGCTCTGCGAAATTTTCCCTGGCAGAAAGTGCCAGTCTCGACCGGTAGTAACGATCCCGTAAAGGTAGTCGGAACCGTCTTCCTCTTCCCGTTTCCTCTTTCTCCTGTTGGTTTCATATAAACTCTTCACCTTATGTTGTTTATCCTCCGTGATGCAAATAAGATCCTCGGAATCCTACCCGCCCATTCACATAGATAGTAGTCAGTGATGAGTTATCAAAAAAACTATACTTCACTGTGAAGAAAAAAAATTACCTTAATTGCGTAATCAACTCGTCCGGAACTTTTTTCTCCAATAATTTCATGATGTGAACGCATACTGAATTCTTTTTTTGTTTCGTCCCTTACGATATGGAGAGCTGAATGGAGTATTGCCACAACATACTCATTTCGCATTGTCTTTAAATTATCCACGAGCAAAGACCCGTAATTTTTCAACCTGACTAAAATCTCCGAATATTTGTCGTCATGGATTTTATAGGTTAGAGGAGAATAGCGGATTTGCATCTATACCTTCAGAGTCAAGGCAGTACATCTCTCAAACTGTGGTATGAGGAGAACGACTTCAGCTTTTTCTCCTTGCACTCTTAGCGAAGTCCGCAAGCATCAGCCTTTATGTCAATATCCCGGAAATCTTGCTTGGTCATTTTGAGGAAGGCACGACCAGTTAACATCTTCCTTTTCTAAATTTTACTAAGCCCTTAGTCCTGTCCCCGCAAAAAACTGATAAGTTTTTCTGTATCATATTTATTAGACATAGCGTTACGTTTTTATAGGCTTGGGCAAGTGTAATAAAAAAAGTGAGTGAAAAGATTTTTTATTTGCGAAAAATGTGGCTATACAGTTATGTGATAAAATTTAGCCGATCACGCTCCGGACTAATCAGAGATGAAATAAATGGTATTGATGTTAACGGCTAATACATTATGAATAAAAAGCGTTGCCGGAGCAACTGATACAAAAATTGTCAATGATGTGAATAAAAATTTCTAGTTATTGGGCGTCTTTTCTAATGTATTTCGGCTAGTAATGGCTTTTGAACCTTTCGATAAAATAAGTCTATATGAACAATAAAGTACAGCCATAACGTTATAACTACTCACCTAGGTCCTTAATATACCGTATATTCCCGAAAATAAGCCCCCCACCCCCCGAAAATAAGCATCCCCTAATTTCTATATTACCCGAAATAAGTACAGGGGGGTGAAATAAATATTGAATAATTTTTATTTGATGTTTATTTATATTTATTTGCTACAATAAATTCGTAT